CCTTTTATATAATACCTATAAATATACCTTTTTTACTTTACCTAGTAGATATAAATTAACTACTTATTTACTTTAATAACCTTATAAATACCTTTTAATAAAGTAACATTATAGTACTAGTTATATAAAAATAAAGGTATCTATAGATACTCCTTAGCCTACCTAAATATAGCCTTACTAGTTACTACTTAACTAATATAGAGTTATAATAACTTTACTAATAATTTAGGTACTTATTAGTTTACTGCCTTTATAAGGTCCTTTATAAGGCTAGTTATAAGGTTAAAGTTAAGGCTATTAAGCACTTAACTAAATACTACTATTACTACTAGCTCTATAGGAAAGCACCTTTATAATTTAAATTTACCTTATATAATAACTACTCTTTTAACTATAAGGTTATTATTAATATTATATACTTTAAAGGCAACTAACTAGTTCTTTATATTATTAATACTATAACTACCTTTAATATAGTATACTTTCTTTATAATATTTCTATAAAGACTATATAAAAGGCACTTTATTACTACTAGATTAATATCTACTAAGGACCTCTAGACTAGATTATTACTAACGTAGGCAAGAACTTTACTATAACTAAATTTTTATATAAAGCCTATATAATAGGTATTAAAGTTAAAATTATCCTTATTAAGGTATACTATAGTATTAAAAAGGTTAAATAATACTATATAGTGCTTTAATAAGCCTATAAAATTATATATAAAGAGTACTTAACTACTAACTATAAATCTATCCTTTAAAGTATAGTTAAGGCAGTTAATAACACTATAGGCCTTAATAGCCTTATACTAACCCTCTTAGTATTTAGTGTTTACCTCTATATAACTACTAACTTTACTCTTTTACTTAATATTATCTAACAGGTAGCTACTATCTAGAAGGCTACTAATAACCTCTATAAGAGCTATATAATACACTAAGTTTATAAGGCACTTAAGGTATATAATAGCCTAGATACCTCTATTAGATATTAAGGTTTAAAGACCTTATATACATAAAAATAAGATAATAATATAATAAAGAAGTAGAATATATAATACAGTATTAATAATACTGTATACACTGTATACACTAGATATAAGAATAACTACTTAGAAAACGGCTATATATACTATATAACAATAATATTTATATATAAAGAATAGGTCTTTTAAGTAAGACCTTCTCCTTCTCTAAGGAATTAAGAATATAGTTCTAGGTCACATAAGGTAAACAGATAAAACAATACCCCACTGCAGGTAAAACAATACCCTGCATTCTAATAACCTACCTAATAACCTACTTAATAACCTAGAATACTAAAGAAATCCTTAGAATACCTAAGATATAGGTATAAGTAATCCCCTTATATCCCTAGGTCTAGTTAGATAGTTAGATCTACAAGCTCTTCTATTATATCTATAACAATATACTACCTTTATATCTTATCTCCTATCTCCTATCTCTTATTTGCCCCTTTTGCCTCTAAAAGGTTATGAGCCCAGCTCTTAAGACCTAGAAAGAGGTTAGAAAAGCGACTTTCTCGAGAATTGAACCCACAGCCTCTGCCTTTTCAGGCCACTTCAACAACCCAACAACCCAACCAATTCAACCAACGCCTTCTGCCAAAGGCAATATCAACAGCAATGGATTTAAAGATAAACCTTCCTCGCCTTGAGGGCACTCTCAACTATACCACTTGGGCAGTCAGAATTCAAGCCCTTCTTATTTCCAAAGATATCAATATCGACCTTCAGAACCCACTTACTGAAGAAAATAAACAATACAATAACAAGGCTTTGGCCTATATCCAACTATATTGCTCTGATGGGCCGTTGAGGGTTATAAAAGACTCCTCTATAGCCCCAGAGGCTTAGAAAAAACTGGCTGATTTATATGAACCCAAGGGTTTTACTAATGAATTTCTGACCTGTAAGGAGTTCTTTAATACCTCTTTAGAGGATTTTGATACTATTAAAGAATACCTTGCTAAGGTTAAGGAGTTAACTAATAATCTAGCTAATAATAAGCTAGAACTACCTAAGAAGGTTATAATTGCCTAGGTTTTAAACAGCCTTGATAATACTTATAAGGGTTTTATAACTAATATAACACAAAGCCTACGAAAGGACCCTGATTCTTACACTCTAGATACGCTATTTTCTAGCCTTCTAGATGAATATAAAAGGAAGAAGGGTTCTACTATAATAAACCTAACAAAAAATAATAACAGAATAACGAAAAAACCATGGAAAAAGCAGAGAGGTCTTTTCTGTCGAAACTGCAAGAAAACCAACCATACAGAGAATAACTGTGCTTTTCTTCACCCTGATAAAGCACCTGTTTGGTGGAAAAATAAGAATAAGGATAAGAAAGAAGAAGAGAAAACAGTTAATACTATAATTTCTGAGGATATAGACTTAGATATAAGTCTAACCTCTACTGAAGGAGGAGAAACCCCTCCTGCTTATAACTCTACTGCCTATGATAATATTCCTTTTGAGAATGTAAGTATAACTTATAATAATAATAATAATAATAATACTAATAATATAACCCTAGGTAATTTAATAAAGGAGAAACTAGGGGAAATAAAACAGATTATATCTAGGAATAATAAATGTATTACTTTTTGCCTTGATACTGCTGCTACTATTATACTATAAGTGATATAAAACATTTATATAATATAAATACTATTAAAGAAAATATAAGGTGGGAGAAGCAGAATCCCTAACTGCAAACTATAAAGGAGATATAGATATCCTAATTAATAACAATATATATACTATAAAAGATGTTTATTATATTCTACAACTAGGCTTAAATCTTCTAAGTCAGAATAAGTTAGATAAAATAAATATAGCATCTATATTCTATAATAATAATCCTATACTATATAATATAAAGGAAGATAAACTACTAAGTATAGGAAGAAAGATTAATAGTTTATATTACTTTAACTTCTATATACCTTATAATAATAACTATATAATAACAATATACTTAATACTACTACTAATAATAATAATACTACTAATAATAATAAATCTAATAAAGATAAAGATTTAGCTATACTATGGCATAATAGACTTGGACATACAGCTTACTCTTTATTACCTTACTTAAATAAAGCTACTATATTAAATAGTAATAATAATAATAATAATATATATATACCTAAGATAAATAATATATTGAAGCCTATTTAAAAGGGAAATTTATAAATAAAGTAAATAAGATAAGTAATAATAATAGACCTATACTAGAATATCTAGAAGCAGTAGCTTCTGATTTATGTGGACCTATAACTCCTATAACATATGATAAGAATAGATGGTTTATTATATTTATTGATATATATACTAGATTCGCTTGGGATATCTTCTGAAAACTAAAGATTCTGAAGAGATATATACTATATTTAATAACTTTAAGAATCTAGTAAATAATAATACTAATAATAAAAGAATAAGAGAATTTAATACAGATGGAGGAAAAGAATTTAATAATAAAAGAATAAAAGTAATATATAATAACGAAGGAATAATACATAATATAAGACCTCCTTATACACATGAACCTAATGGTATAATAGAAAGGATAATAAGAAATATAGTTAATAAAATAAGGACTTTACTATATAATTCTAATCTGCCTAAATATTTATGGGAGAGGCTTTCTTAGCCTCTATATATATATATAATAGAACCCACATTCTTTTATAGATTATAAAACACCCTATGAAAATAGATATAAAATAAAACCTAATATATCTAATATAAGAGTATGGGAAGTATATGCTACTATAAAAATAAAGACCCTAACATTAGAAAATTAGATTCAAGAGCTAATAAGGGTGTTATAATAAATTATGGAAATAATGCTTATAAAATATAGGATATAATACAGAGAAGACCTATATAGTCTAGAGATATTACTATACTAGAAAATAACTTTATAACTAACAATAATAATAATAAAGAAAGTCTAGAAATAAATAATAATATAAATAAAGATCTTAATAGTAATAAAGATAATATTAATACTAATAATAATATATCTAAAGATAATATAATAATAGAAATACCTAAGATTAATAAAGAAGATTATATAGACTACAAAGAAGGTAATCTATTTGATACTATAGAAGATTATCCTTCTATTAATATATTAGCTCCTTTAAATAGAGCTGAAGATAAAGCATCTTATATACTATCTTCTAATATATTAACTGAACCTTCTACTTTTAAACAATTTCTAGAAGATAATAATAAAGATAACTGGATAGAAGGTATGAATAAAGAAATTAAAGAATTAGAAAATAATAATACATGGACTATTATAAAAAATAATAATAATAATAACATTATTAAAGGAAGATGGGTATATAAAATAAAAGAAAAAACAGATAATAATAATAATAAAATAGAGAAAATATATAAGGCAAGATGGGTAGTACAAGGCTTTAATCAACACTTAGGTATTGATTATTTAGAAACCTTTAGTACTACTTGTAGGCCAGAAAGCTATAGATATATAATAATATTAGCTGTTGCTAATAACTGGTATATGCAACAATATGATGTAACTAATGCCTTTGTGCATGCTAATATTGATAAAGAAATATATACTATAATTCCTACTGGATATATATATAATAAAGAAGCTAATAAACTAGTTTTTAATAATAAAAATCCTTTATATAATAATAAAGAATATATATGTAAATTAAATAAGGCCTTATATGGTTTAAAACAAAGTCCTAGACTATGGTATAAGCACTTAAAAGATATATTTATAAAAGAATGCTTTAAAATATCCCCTTATGATGAAGCAGTATTTATATATAATAAAAATGATAATAAAATAATACTAGCTTGTCACGTAGATGATATGTTAGTAGTTGGAAATAATAAAGAATTTATAGATAATTTATTTAATAATATACTACTTGAATATATAAAGATAAAGCCTATGGAATACCTAGTATATTTCTAGGAAATGAAATATATATAGATTATAAAAATAAAAGCGTATATATACATCAAACTAAATATACAGATAAGATATTAAATAAATATAATAAAAGGGATTTATATCCGTATAATACACCTATAGATAATAATATAAAGTTATATAAAAATAAAGGACAAGCAACTAAGGAAGAAATATTAAAATATCAGCAAGAAATAGGTGCTTTAATATATTTAGCACTAAAAACAAGAATAGATATAACTCTTCCTGTTATAACTTGTTCTAGATATATAAGTAACCCTTCTAAAGAGCATTTTATTGCCCTTAATAGAATATGGGGTTATTTAAATAAATATAATAATCTAGGAATATATTATAACTGTAATAATATTAATAATTTTGATATAATAGGTTATACTGATTCTAACTGGGCAGGAGATCTTAATGATAGAAGATCTACCTCTGGTTATATATATACTTATGGATATTATAATCTTATCAGCTGGAATTCTATAAAACAAAAAACAGTAGCTTTAAGTACCTGTGAAGCTGAATATATGGCTTTAACAGAGGCTATAAAAGAAGCTATATATTTATATAATAGTTATAACTATATAAGAATAAATCTAGGGTTTAGTGATTTAAATAAACCTAGAATATTAATAGATAATGAAGCAGCTCAAAAGCTAGCAGAAAATCCAGAATTCCATAAAAAAGTTAAGCATATAAATATAAAATATCACTTTACTAGAGATACTATAATAAATAAACAGGTATATCTATATCATATAAATACAAAAGATAATATAGCAGATATTTTAACTAAACCTCTAGGAAAGGTTTTATTTTATAATATAATAAATACTATAAATATAATAGATAAAGATACTATACCTGAATATAATAAACAAGAAGAAAATAAAAATATAAGAAATAAGTATATAAATAATAATAATAATAATAATAATAATGATAATATATAAAGAAGAGTAATATATATATATAAATAAGTTACTATCTCTTGTTTTCTCCTGCTTATAAAGGTTTTAAAGAGATTAGTAAAGTATATATTTAAGTATATATACTTAATAACAAATAGCTATCTTGATTTTTCCTATTAAGGTTTTTATAGATAAGCTATATATAATAAATTATATATACCTTAAGGGGGGGTATTAGATATTAAGGTTTAAAGACCTTATATACATAAAAATAAGATAATAATATAATAAAGAAGTAGAATATATAATACAGTATTAATAATACTGTATACACTGTATACACTAGATATAAGAATAACTACTTAGAAAACGGCTATATATACTATATAACAATAATATTTATATATAAAGAATAGGTCTTTTAAGTAAGACCTTCTCCTTCTCTAAGGAATTAAGAATATAGTTCTAGGTCACATAAGGTAAACAGATAAAACAATACCCCACTGCAGGTAAAACAATACCCCGCATTCTAATAACCTACCTAATAACCTACTTAATAACCTAGAATACTAAAGAAATCCTTAGAATACCTAAGATATAGGTATAAGTAATCCCCTTATATCCCTAGGTCTAGTTAGATAGTTAGATCTACAAGCTCTTCTATTATATCTATAACAATATACTACCTTTATATCTTATCTCCTATCTCCTATCTCTTATTTGCCCCTTTTGCCTCTAAAAACCTCTACTATTAAAGACCTACTGTTAGGCAGTAAGGTATAAGTATAATATAAAAAAGGTAGATAGTTTAGCCTATACTACCTACTATCTATTAATAGTAAAGATTACACTATTAATATTAATAGCCTATATAACTTCTATTCTACCTTAGTTAAACCTTACTACACTAAGAAAGAAGTAAATAAGCCTACTAATATAAATCTTTAACCTAACTAACCTATAGATACTAACTACACTAGTAAACGTATAAAGGATACTATTATTATTACTATAAGAATAAGAAAACCTATTTAAATAGTAACCTCTTTTTCTCTATAGTATACCTATAGGTAACTATATAAGACCTTAGTTAATATACTACTATAGGAAACAGATAAACCCTCTAGTGCCTTCTTCTTAGCTAAAGAAGAAGTAGACCTAGTACTTATGTAATAACTATATAACTAAGGCATTATTACTACACCTAGTAAGCCCTTTAAATAGTTAGGCAAAAGTAAGATCTAAGGCCTTATTAACTATAGTATATTTAAGATTATTATATATAATCCTTCTATTTACTAAGGCTACGTCTTTAAATTTTACTTTATTAATAAAGTTAAAGGTAAAAATAATAAGCTATATAAGAAATTATAACTTATAGTATAAAGTTATAGTAATAATAATAAAGAAACCTTACTAGTTTAGTTACCTATAATTTAAAAAGCTAGCTAGCGTATAATTCTTATACTTACCTTTTCCCTTATAGCTAATAGTAAAGTAATATAGCTATAAGATATAACATAGGCCTATATATAGTTAACTTTATAACTTAACTACACTATCTATATATAACTTCCCCTTTAAATCTATAATTACTACCTTTAAGGCACTATTATAAAGGTAGTAAAGCTATTATATAGCTTTACTAAAGTAAGTACTTATTAGTAGGTAACCTATAACTACTACTACTATAAAAAGCTTAATATAGTTACTACTTTATATAACCTATACCTACTCCTTTTATTTATAAAAAACCTTAACTTTATAATAATTAAAATATAAATAGATAATATAATTAGCCTAACTAGTATTAATTTCTTTAACTATAAAGATAATAAGCTTACTAAAGTAAAGCTTCTTATAAAAAGAAAATTTTACTTATAAAGAATAAACCTTTAGTATTTAATAAAGGAATTATCTTATTAACTTTAGCTAAAGACACCTTTATTATACTTTACTAGAAAAGCTAAGGTATAAAGCTAAGACTTATTAACAAGAAATTACCTATAGCCTAGTAAAACTATGTTTAGTAGTATACTTAAGGTATATATATTACTTTTATTTACTAACCTAAAGTATACTTTAACTTATCTACTATAGCTTAGTATAAAGAGCTAGACAGTAAAGCTATTTAATAACTTAACTAAAGAATCTAGTAGTAAATAAATATACTTAACTATAGCCTTACCTTTATTCTCTTTAACCTACTTAATATAAAGCTCTTTATATTTATTAATAAATCTTTTACTAATAATTATAACTTAACTTTATAGTTAAGATTTATTATCCTTTTTACTAATAAAGAGGTTAATAACTAATAAGGTAAGTTTACTCTTTATAGTAATATCCTTTATTTTTTAGTAACTAAATCTAAACAAGTAATATAAAGTATTCTTATATTAAAAGTCTATAGTATAGTTATAAGTGTTAATATAGTGTATACTCTCTCTATAACTATTATAATAGTAATAAATAAGCTTAGTAACCTATTAATCTTTATTATTACTTACACTAACTTATACTTACTATATAAGTGCCTAGTAAAGTTAGGTACTACCTATAAAAAGCACTTAATAATTAATATTATAGTACTATAATAATTATATAAGTAATATAAGCTCTTTAAGATATAATAGATCTATAGTAATAATAACCTTACTAATAGGTTTATAAAGTCCTTACTAAACTAAGTACTTAAGAGTCTTATCTCTTATAATAAAGTAAAAATATAGATAAAAGGATAAGTTATATAAATATAACAAGAAATAATAAGAATAATAGGATATAGGATAATAAACACTTAGAAGAGAAAATAGGTTATATAAACTATATAAATTAATAATAGTTAAATCTATTTAACGTAAGTATATACTTCTAATAGCTATAGCTAAAGAGAAATACACCTAAACAAGATAGTATAAGCCTACCTCTACTAAGTAAATAAATAAATAAATTTATAGTAGTATATAACTATAAAAAGTGTAATACTTTTACTTTTCTTATTTTTATTATATTTTTAGGCTTTTTAAGAAGAATAAGAGTACTAGTAACTTTTACTACACAAGAAAGTTACTAGTGTTAGTATATAGGTAATACAGCTAGAGGCAGTAGGTTATATAATACACTGCCTACTAGCAGAATCCCTTACCTTTGCCTATACACAAGGGTACTACTATACTTATACTCCTACTTCACCTTGTTAACTAGTTAACTATTAATAACTACAAATTTAACCACTTTTTCCTAATTATTATAATATTACAAGATACAGGATCCTATTAATTAACCAGTGAAAACCAACACTTACAGTACTAGCATGGTTTTATCCTACGCTATTTACATTTTCTTCTTAATCTAGTGAGATAACAGCTTAGAGTGCTTTAGAGTAGGTCTTTTCACGTTCTAGCCACCAAAAGCGGTCTAGCTCAGTACACCCCATACAAGGAAATCACATGACGCATAACCTAATAAACCAACAGTGGTGACTAGCAACGACATCAACTATGAACATCAATTCCGGTTGCGTTGAGCCTTACGCCAAAATCATAGCAACTTCGATAATTAAGCCAGGTACGCTTGATAATGGCATTACTGATGTACCAAACTTGAAGATTCCACTGAATCTGTTATCAAGGTCGTGAAAACCCGTGCGTCTCAAGTCATGCGAAGGTCGTTTCGCTCACCTTGTAGGAGACAACCAAGTTTTTACAAAGCCCGACAGGAAGCTGGCCAGCTCTGGTTGTAGAGTTGCTGTCTGCGGTATATAAGCTCCAGTGATAGGAGATATCAAACTGGAAGAGAATAATCGGAGAGTTTACGACATGGTACGCATGCACTTGCCGATAATCATGGTTCGGCAGTACAACTTTGGAGAGCCACGTACCCAATTCATCTAGCGCGGAATGATAGACCGTTTCTAGTATGGATTTGAATGGGTTTGGTTTAAGCTTAAACAGCCGATATAAAATGACAAAAAAAAAACTTAAAAAAAACTCTAATGAAAGTTTGATTTATGGCATCGTAGACCGTCGAGTAAGCGGAGCTCAATCGACCCCGTTTTTCGGTGATAAACACTTTAACTTGCGTTGTTCGATGAACGTCTGACAAGAAATAGACTTGCACCAGGTTTCCAGACTGTATAGCTACAGAATAAAGAAAAAATGTCAAATGAGTTATTTGTAAACCTCATGTTGCAATAGACTTGTTCTGCTGCAAGCGAAGACACTGGAATCAGGTATGAGAAAGCTACTTCGGCCCGTTTGTTAGCTATTAACGACCTTCGCTATGTCCTAAAGAGTAATGCCATTGGTTTAACGGAGAGTAAGAAGGGGCCGTATTAATATCTTTCCATTTGTTATGGTCTTAGGCATTCAAGA